AAATGAATTATATACGACGGGTAAATAACGGAGAAATAGCTTGCGCATATATTAGCCGAGACGTTCTCGTTTCGCGATTTGTTAAAGACGACATGGCAGAGATAGAGAGAGAGAGAGAGAGAGAGAAACGAAAGAGTATAGGGAAAACGCATACGACGTGCCTTCCAACTTTCGTCGCGTTTTCGGCTTTTCTTCTATATCGCCTTGGCTCTGTCTGCCGCCAGGGTCCTCTTTTCTCCCGCTTTGCTTCCGAACTCCGTTCCTGGCGCCGCCAGTAAAAAACTAGCCGAATAAATATGTCCCGTATTCTTTGCACGGCCATTGTGGTCGAGGCGTCGCGGTAAAATACGGGGCCTTTATTATCCTATGTGAGTCTCAAGCGCGGCGGCGGCGGCGGCGGCGGCGGCCGGAATAAACTCACGACACGGTAAACTTCGCGCAAGACTCGCGATCAAAAATAAAACAGCCAGGATCTTCGGGATACGATGGCGCTTCTTGCGTTAGTGTTTTTCGTCGCGTCTTGTTTTTTCCTATTTTTCATCGTTGAAAAATCCGTCGCGCACATAATAATAATTTGAAATCTCTATCATAAACAAATGTCTGGAAATGAGAGACAGATATATTAACGATCAAATTCCGGACGGAAATGAAGTGAGGAAATAAAATCACCGGCCGAATAAACGGGGGAGCGCGAGTCTTAAAAGACCCGAAAATCGCAGGTCAACCGGGAACACAGGCAAAGGCTGCCGACGCCATGTTTTGCTAGGTCACGCCGAGAGAACGGGAAAAGGGGGCGCGAGTGAGAGAAGACAAGCAAGGGGGAATGAGAGAAAGAGAGAATAGCCGACAAAAAGGATAAGGGGGATGGGAGCGAGTCGGTCGGGGAGCTCTCGTTAATAACCGGACTCGACTTGATTATGGTCGTCGGCGGCGGCGGTGGCGGCGGCGGCGGCGGCGGCAAGCGCATCGGACCGCTTTAGCCTCGGCGGTCGCATCGAACGAGATGGCCGCTAATGGGCCGGATATGGATGAAAAATTATCTCGGCTTAATGCGCGCGCCCGCGCACACGGCCATCGTTTTTCGTTATTACGCGAGAGCTTTAAGGGTCCCGGCCACGAATCGACGCGATATCCCGCGCCCTTTCGCTTCCCGTGATCTCTCACACCCCCCATTCTCTCACTTTCTCTTCGCTGCCCTTTTTTTTTGTTCCGGTCCATTTTTCCGGCTGTCCGAATTTGTTCCATAATTAAGCGCTCGATTATCGCGCCGGACGATTTCAACGCTCGGCACACACAAACACACACACATACACATATTTATTTCCGACGATCGGACCGGAATAATTTAATTTATAGTAAGAACTTTTTCTCCCTTCGCCGCCCAAGTTCCGCGCCTAAATGTTTGTAACAGCGATGTTGGTTCGTGCGGCCGATAACGTAAACGCGGGAATGATTGATTAACCTCCTCGCCTCCGAATCAACGGAGGCGCGGATGCTCCTTACGTCGGGTAAATACACAACAGTCACGCGATATATACTTTGACATTATCGCATCGCATAAGCTTGTTATATTGCCTGAAACGGGGAGTTGTAATTTAATTTTTTTTTTTTTGTCTGAGTCCATGCACACTCGGCGTCTCTTAGATTTGAGATACAGAAATAGTTCAATAGTTCTTCCAGTCTCAAAACTCTAATGAAATCGACAATAAAAATTAGAGAAAGATTGCGCGGAAAGTGAGAGTGTTTTTTTATATGGAACAAAAATTGAAACAAAAATCGAAAACTAAAGCTAGTCGCGAATTCTGCGAAAGTAACGCCGGCGAAGTATCGAAGAATGTTTGGACTAACAATCCCATGAGAGCTACCGTGCAGCGCGTTCAAGATTACATCCGGTAACGCAGGCGCCTAATCCTTTATAGCTAGTTACAGTGGTGAAACTTATACTTCCGCGCGATGGTCGCAGAAGTTTCGCCGCAGCGGCAAATAACTCGACGATGGATGCTCGTAGATACTTTTGGATGCGCGTATCGAATGTTGTTTTCTCACAATGGGAATTTGAAATAGAAAGTTTACGCGCGCGTCTATTCCCCCATCGGCATGTCTGAGAAACAAATGTGATTATTTTCGCGGCGCTTCCGATAATCGTAAACGAATCGTTCGGGTGCAAACGTGCAGCGGAACTGATCGGCGGAAGCACTGCCGGGATTTTCAAACATCGATCGTGTAAATAACATGGGCTTGTTTTCAATTTATCGAACTGCTTTCTTTCTCTCTCTCTCTCTCTCTCTCTCTCTCTCTCTCTCTCTCTCTCTCTCTCTCTCTCTCTTGCTTGCAGCATGTATCGTCTTCTAATAACAATAGAGTTGCCAATTACGAGCAATCGAAGTATAAAACAAATACGAAAGAATAACAGGATGCAGTTTGCGCCGTTGCAAATACGATTGCAAATATATATATATATATATACATATATATATGTGTGTGTCTAAAACACATCTATGAAAAAAGTGTTGCTGGTGCACGTAAGAGTGAGAGAAAAATATTTGGTTTTTTTTTTTTTTTTCAAAGCAAGAGATATAAAATTTAATTGCAATCTAAATACGCCAAAATGTTCATTTTTTGATTTTCGAACACATTAAAAAAATACGAGAATGCGGAATCATTTTTTTTTGAGCGAAATATTGCAATGTTTATTCAGTTATACCTATATAACGCGATTCAACTCGATCGTACGTGCAATCTCGTAGCGCGGAGTCTTCATCTGACCTGAAACGCGCGGCGCGATCGAGTTCTGGCCACGATGTTCGAGAGATTACGGGATACTCAATTAGGGGATTCAGTGTCATAGAATTCGAGAGCCTCGGATTAAGGGCTCTTATCGTGCGAGTAACTTTGGATTATATGGCGCCGCGCACCAATTCCCCGCTTATTTCGATCGCGCGCTATATCCGCGCAAGATACGGATGGCTCGCGAATGGCATCGAAAGATGTCGCGAGTCGTCGACGAGGAAATTTATCTTCCGTTTTAAAGGGGAGAAACAGCAAACCGCGCGTTAAATTCTTATTTGATTTCACTCGATATATTTGTTTAACAACAAAAATGATTATTTTTAATCAACAAGCTCGTTCTTCATTCAGCACGTATTCCGTATGTTCATTAATTAACATTCATATTTTGGTGGTCAGAGAGTAACGAGCAGAGCTCTCTTTCTCTTTCTCATTGCTTAAAACTCAATATTATTACTCTGCTAAAATTCATTTTCACTCAACGCATGGAGAATTCTCTCGATCAGCTGCGCAAGCAGTAAATAAGCTCCTGCACTTAAGCCTGATATCGAACGAAGCTGCGGAACAGCTGTTCGAGGTAATGCCGGCGAGATATTATACCGCATCGGAAAATTTGGTGGCGATCGCGAAAATTTCTCGCCGGCTCGGAGCGCCGCGCGCAAATTCCGACGCAGTCTTATTGATCCGGGGGAAAGAGAAGAATAAAATAATGAACGAACGCGAGAGCGGTACACGGTGCAAATTTTGTTTGCGATTACTTTCCAGCTTGTGGCTCCTATATTTGTTTTTTCATAGTGACGGTGCGTATGTGTATCGAACCGGCGACGAAGAAACAATTTTTGCGCGGCGCCTGAGTGACGGAAATATCGCGAGAAATGTCATCCACCTTTGGGGTAGATCTCATCTTCCTTAATAACATTCGAGACGAAACTCGGGGGGGGGGGGGCTCTTACGAGCGACATTCATCGCTCTTCGGGTTACGTGGCGACTGACAAGAATTTTCCTCGTTCTGACACAGACACGTCGTCGTAATTAATTATATTCGATCGCGCGAAGCGAGTGTCAATTTGGAGAAAAAATCAAGACACATGCTGAATATTTTAGTTTGACGTAAACACGCGAAAAAAAAAGTTTCGCTGTTACACGACCGGTGAGAAAAATTTGCCGAGTCCACTCTGAATTTTTCGTTTCGTCAACAAAACGTTTTTTTGTTTGGCAAAACTTCAATAGACTTGGCTAGAATTTTTCTTGCTCGGTCAATCTTCTTTTGCTTTTCCAGCAAACCTATCTTCCGTATGTACACTAACACTTTTGTTTTCTTAAGTTACTATATATCTTACTTCACGGAGTAAGACAATTGTTTCCGGTTGTCACAAACATTAACTCAAGTTAAGTGACGTTTAATTGATTCCCTCTGTTTCGTTCTGGAAAGAAGGGAGAAGCGAGAAACTGAGAGAGAATCAGTTGAACTTCAGTTAACCTTAACTAACGTGTACAAGGACTCTGCCCGCACAAACGTCTTCCGGTTCGGTGAAAGAGATAGATGGAAGTCACAACTCCCCCCGCAAATCACGCCGCGTGTTCGAACGAATTGATCCACTTGCGCTCTCTCTCTAAGTCGCGTTTGTTCGATAACGAGGCGATAAGCTTCGATAAGCTATCAACACAACTTTTATTACTCGGGGACCAGACTTCCCCCGAAATCAAAGCTGCTATCACTACGTGACGACGATTATCGTTCGCGAGTATCGCTCTCGAAAACTTTCACGGAAGCCGTGTTCTAATCCGGCGAATCTCGTCACGCGACCTCGCTAAGTGTGTGACACCGGGCCGCCTTTCGACCCAGTCTCGAAGTAACTCCCGTCCGCGGGAAAAAGTCTCGAAGAGAGTTTCCGAGAGAGGCTTTTAAGCTCCCGACAATCAAAGCCCGGAATCGTGTGTGATTTCAATAAATGCAATTTTTTGCAATGATATAGATACGCAAAAAAAAAAAAACTAACTCTCGTATCTTTCGGATCTTTCGCGTCAATCTCATAAATAAACTAGCGAATGTCATTTCTGCGCGTCTATATCATCGAAATGACAGCCGAACTTTTCGGACTCGAAAGTTCGCAAAACGCTACCCCGGAACATCGTTTTCCGCGCTCGTGTTTGCTGAGGGGACGTCTCGGCGCCAGCCGAGAAGAGAAAAACATTGGGTCTTCTTCACTCACCGGTCATCGTAGACGAAACCCGCTTGCAAAGTGTTGCAGTAGAGTGCCGTCGCTACGAGGGCGCAGGCTACGGCGAGGATATCCATGTCACATCGTGGCGAGGACGCTGGCGGCGACAGCGACGTCGACGGCGGCGGCCTCTTAACTTGTTGCACGTCCGCGAGCCTTCCTCCTGCACCACCGCCGCCACCGCCAGCAGCACCAGCACCACCACCTCCTCTTCCTCCTCCTCCACCTCCACCTCCTCCTCTCCCGCCGCCCCTGCGCCTCCGCTTAACGCCGGTTCTTCGCGCGGCGGCCGAGACGTCCGCCGGACGATCGAACGACCGCCGATCTGACGCCGCCTGCCTGGATGACGGGTCCCGCGCGGGATGAATGTCGGTGACGCGTCCCCGGATACGATCCAGCAACGAAGCTGCTGCTCCTGGCGCCGGGCCCGGGTGCCCGATCTTCCCCGGCGACGCGGCGAAACTCGACGCTTCACTTCGCGGTCTCACATCGGTCGCTCGCGATAGGCGTCGCAGGTCCAGAGGATGTCACGAAGTCAGGAACAACTTGATTCTCGTTAGACGGGAGGATGATTCCTCGGCCGAAGTAAGGAAGATCATGCAGACTGCTTGAAGTCAATCTGAGATTCTGCTTTGAGAGAAGAAGTTACCTTCCTATTGATCCTCCCGAAGAAGATCGTCGTTGCGACTGATGGTTTTTTTCCTTGCCGACTGCAATGTAATTCGCTACCCCGAGCGAATTCCGATTTTCAATCACTATATTCACTGACGCGCGTTGGTACTCGCGACTCGAACTTTGTGCTTCGTTCTGAGAAGAGTCGCATTGGAAAGGCGGACGACTTCAAGAAGAAAAACAAGGAAATGTTCTTCGTCGGGAAATGAAACAGCGTTGTCGATTTAACGCCGCGTTCGTCGTTTCTTCCTTATCGGTCACGGAGCAAGGAAAGATTCCTCGCGCTCCTGCGAGCGGCGATGTTCCTCCACGGCGATTCTTCAGCGGTGATGATCCTCCTCGGAGCGAGAGAACTCGCCGCTTCTTAGCGATTCTCGAGATCGGCGCGCTCGATCGGAGCTCGATCGCGGTCGGACGGCGACTGATCTCGCGAGAAATGTCGCTTTTGACGTAGTTTTCACCAACAACGACGAGAACGACGATGAAACAATATTCTCGACGCGAGCGATACGCGACGCGACGCATGTTCCAGATGCGGAACGCCAACTGTCGCGCGCCCCCCGAGGACGAGAGCTTTATACGCGGGAGACGGGCATCGATCGGACAGGCGCTTGCGCTCGCCCGCTCTCCTGGTCCTCTCCTCCTTCTCTCCTCCACCTCATCCTCCTAGTTCTCCTCATCCTCCCGTTGCCACCCTCTTCCTCTCTCTCTCTCTCTCTCTCTCTCCCTCTCTTCTCTTTCGATCTCTCTTTCTCTATCTTCGTCTCTTCCTCTTCGTCCTGGCCTCGTGCTACGCACTCGCGACCGCTCGCAACGACCGCGACCGCGACCGCGACCAACGGACCGGATTAACCGCAACCTCGGGGACAATGCTGACCGATGGACGTCCTTTTAGAAAATGACGCAACGTAAGGGTCAGGAGCAGAATGCGCGTGTGTGGATACGAGCGGGATGGACCCAAGCGGATCCGGCGAATTCGAGTGCGAATTTTGAACTTTAGACGTTTTGCGTCGAACAAGACCGACCGTGAGGGAATTGTGTGTCCGCGCCAACCGTTCAACGTTTTCCGTGGTATCCGTCGACGGATGGAAAACGGTGGGAGGTTCGGTTGCGGTCGGGAGAACGTTTAGCCTGGGAATGCAGCCGGATGCGTCCGACGGCGATTGTCGTCGTCCGTCCACGTGGCGATTAAGCCGTCCACTATATGTCCGCGGAGGAACAATCGCGGGGACAGTTGCAGTGTCATCGCAACCGGCGGGCGTCTCACATGAGACATCTGTTCTGGAAGCGATTTTGGAAAGGAATTCGTAATTTCGAGGTGCATAGTTCCATTTCGAAATAGAGAGAGAGAGGAAAATTGAAAAGATCCCCCCCCTTTCCCTATAGGGAAATGTTCTTCTCAAAAAAGACGAATGTATTTCACATTTTATTTCGAGCCGATGTGATCGAACGTTGAAGTCAAACAAAAATCAACCAGAAACCAAATGTTCCCGTGTGAAAACACGCGCGAAAACGCGCGTTCTCTTTCGCTTGACTTGAACATTTTCAAAAATACACCGTGTCGCGCCACGTACACTTTTTACAAAACGAGCAACGTTGTGTGCCATCTAGAATCTTGCGCGGTATTATATCAAGAGATAAGCCTCGTAATATCATCGTGCAATCTCGCAGCTTCCTCGTAATCTTGCCGCTAATGCGAAATTTATTCTCGCTGTAACGTTTATAAACGTACGACTGGCGCGATATTTCACGCGCGAGGACTCCGCGCGCGCGCGCGCGCGCGGGGATTGCGCGTTAACACCCGTTGAGGATATCGTCACTCTTGGCAGTTTAATCCGCCGGTATATACGTCGGTATAACGGCGATTCGTCACTAGGTACCCTCTACGCGTAATTAATCGTCGCAGCCGACGCCGTGAAACCCGCCCGCATTTATCACGCGTATTATAGTACGCGGGTTAAGGGGGCGGGGGGAAGGGAGAAGAGAGCCCCCGTTATTGTGCCAACGCCGGACTTAGATGTTCTCTCGGGGCGCCATTGTATCGCAAACAAGAGCCCGCCATCCGTAAACGCTTCAATTATTACGGGGGGAAGGCGCGTAACAAAAGTAATTCGCGCTCCTGATGTGAGGCGATTAAAGATCTCGCGCCCGCGAAGCCGCGCCGCCAGGTTACTCTTAATGTGGTAATTAAGCATTTAAACGCTTAACTCACTTCTATATGATGCTCGGGCTAGCGTTGTGTATAATTGAGGAGCAACGGCCGACAGCAAAGCGCTTAACCGCGAACGAGAGTATGATAACATTTGAACGCGATATATCAGCATCTCTAATTAACCCGTAGCGTATCTATCCGCAAATGTTGCATTGTGAAGGGTTAGGTGAATATTTTTTTCATCATTGCTATCGGGGAAAAATCACTCGGAAAACGTCACTCGCTCAATGAAATTTTTTTTTTAATTCAGACACCAAGATACTATATTTAACGAGCTCGTTTGATTCTCTCGAGGAAAAAAAAGTCAAAAATTGCGAATCGCGAATTCATTGAACTCAATTGGCGGGGCTCGAGAAACGGCAATCTATACCCCGCGCCATGCCGTATAGAAATACAAATTAACCACGCTCGTAACACTCCGCAATTACCCGTCCTGGTGCTTAATTCCCCTAAAGCCGGCCATATGGGTCTTGCGGGTGGCGAGGGAATGTCAGGGGACAGCATCATGGCATCTGAAACGAGGTTGACAGTAAACAATACCGCTCACGAGAAGGGGAGCGAAGTCGATTGCGTGGAGTCCCTCGTCCCGAGGGACCCTCCTCGGATGGTGTAGGACACATCCACCGTCGAGATCCTCATTTTTTTCTTTTTTGGCAGAGCACGCGCGATGCGCAGAGAGTTCACATTTTTTCTGACCGTTATTAAAATGCTATTTTCAGACCAAATATATATA